CCAAAGCTCATTTTTTCTTCTAGGATATACTCGAGCGGAGCTAGCACGATAGAACAAGTCTATCTTTGGTCTCGGTCATGCAGACTAACACAAAAACAATGAAACTACAGTCGATCGTGATCGTGTTCGCATACGCTCGTGATGGGGAAGTTCACGGTCCCGACGTGTTCTCTCTCAAGGCACAGGTGTTGTCGGCTTACTGTACAGAAGGAAACTACAGTGCGCGCCACTTGGATAGGACACCCCCGTATTTGATGGTATGCTTGGATAACTTGTACGTAAACTGACACGAAATATACCAAACCATCGGCCGTGATTGGCCCGATCGTTTGGCGCTTGTTTTAGGTCAAAATAATCGATATTGAATGAGTTATGCCGCGAAAACCGAATACGGGGTGCGACAACCGGATAGGACACTTCAGGAAAATGGTCACTTTTGGAGGTTTCATTGACCTCTTGCACCTTCCGGTAGTGGACAATCAACTAGTTGACACATATAACGTTACGCTAAGCTACACACAACGTCCGACGTGCAGTAGGGATGGGCAGAGCTTCTCAACTCACTGAGCATGAGCAAGGCAGCGCGTTAGCGTTCAGGCAAGCTGGATGGTCTGTCAAGAGAACCGCTGCGACTCTTGGACGCTCTCTCAACGCAATTGCATCGTTTTTGCACTCGCCTGACAACTACGGCAAGAAATACAAGGGTCGACAGTCAAGTAAAGTCACTGATCGAGCCCGACGACAAATCATCAAACACGCGTCCATCATTGGATGCTCAGCTCGTCAGCTTCAATTGCACCTACCGATGGACGCGTCGCTGAGAACATATCAACGGATCCTCCACCGAGCGGAGTTCCTCCAATATACCAAACGCCACCACACCCCAAAGCTCCAACAACGCCACAAAAATGACCGCATAAGCTATGCCGAGACCAACTTGACGAACCCAACCGTGTGGGAGGATGTGGTTTGGTTGGATGAAAACAAGTTCAATCTCGACGGCCCCGATGGGTTCCAGTACTACTGGCACGACCTGCGACAAGAGAAGGGTCATTTTTTACGCGACGCAGCGGCGGTGGAAGTTGCATGATTTGGGGTGGATTTTCGAGTATGGGAAAGACCGAATTGGCGTTTCTAGATGGCGCGCAGACAGCTGACAAGTACATTGACACACTCTCGGACTACCTCCTTCCATTCGGCCATGAAATGTATGGAGGGCGCTTTGTATTCATGCAAGACAATGCCAATATCCATCGTGCCACGGTGGTGACCGAGGTTTTGGACGAGCAAGACATAATGGTTTTTGACCACCCAGCTCTGTCGCCAGATCTCAGCCCCATTGAGAATGTTTGGGGGGTCCTTGCCCGCGATTTTTTACCTCAATGGAAAGCAATTTGGATCGGTTGACCAGCTCAAAGCTGCCATCAAGCGTGAGTGGGCGAAAACTTCACAATATTACCTGCTGAAGTTGATAAAATCAATGCCAAAGCGGTGCGTGCATGATATCCAAGCCAAAGGAGACAATACAAAGTATTGAGGATGACATTGTGTGCTTTAATGAATGATTTTGTTGAGGTTTTCCCTAAGTGTCCTATCCGGTTGTCGCACGCCGTATTCGGTTTTCGCGGCATAACTCATTCAATATCGATTATTTTGACCTAAAACAAGCGCCAAACGATCGGGCCAATCACGGCCGATGGTTTGGTATATTTCGTGTCAGTTTGCGTACCTCTTAAACCTAGTTCTATATTACTTAGAGATAATATAATGAGGGGTTTACGAAATGTCTACGAAACCCTTATAATCTTATCTTTCGCTTGCAGCGATAAAGGTATTTGTATTGGCCACACACTTTGACTCTGCTGAATCCGCGCACACAAGAACGATGAATGATACACATGTAAATCAAATGTTAACGTTATACTTCTTGATGAGAACATATATGGCTGTATGTCATCTCGTCTAGTCTACACTTGCTAACTTCGCTATCATTTCTTTCCAATAGAAGCGTTTGGCCAAGGCGGGGATACGATGGACTACACTCTCATGTACGCCAGAGCTCAGCGCAAGTTTTAAAGTGTGAACTATATGCTACTTTAGTGTACAGTGGTCGGTGTCATCCGTGCGCCTTGCCTTGCACGAGAAGGCGCCACTCCCATGCCAGCATCCTTGGATTTCCAATCAAAATGCAGTTCGATTTGATAGATTATCTTTATTTACTTACGTAAGGACAATCACACGTTAATATGATATCACTACTGTGATTTGCAGCCAAGGACCGTGGAAGTCTTCCAGTGGAGCACTGCCCTTGACCATAGGAGAGCTTTCTGTGCATTCAGGCTTCAGTAGTCCCCGCAAACCCAATGCAATCTATGACTAGGTAATTTATAGCCATACTATACGAGAAATGAGACAGAATCATCGTTAAGTAAGCCCCAGAGAAGATTTCGTGGAATCGCCAATGTGGCGCAGGCAGCCTACTATAATGATACTGTTGTGGGAAGCTGGTGGTATGGTGCACAAGAAAGGGCGCGCACACAAGAACGATGAATGATACACATGTAAATCAAATGTTAACGTTATACTTCTTGATGAGAACATATATGGCTGTATGTCATCTCGTCTAGTCTACACTTGCTAACTTCGCTATCATTTCTTTCCAATAGAAGCGTTTGGCCAAGGCGGGGATACGATGGACTACACTCTCATGTACGCCAGAGCTCAGCGCAAGTTTTAAAGTGTGAACTATATGCTACTTTAGTGTACAGTGGTCGGTGTCATCCGTGCGCCTTGCCTTGCACGAGAAGGCGCCACTCCCATGCCAGCATCCTTGGATTTCCAATCAAAATGCAGTTCGATTTGATAGATTATCTTTATTTACTTACGTAAGGACAATCACACGTTAATATGATATCACTACTGTAATTTGCAGCCAAGGACCGTGGAAGTCTTCCAGTGGAGCACTGCCCTTGACCATAGGAGAGCTTTCTGTGCATTCAGGCTTCAGTAGTCCCCGCAAACCCAATGCAATCTATGACTAGGTAATTTATAGCCATACTATACGAGAAATGAGACAGAATCATCGTTAAGTAAGCCCCAGAGAAGATTTCGTGGAATCGCCAATGTGGCGCAGGCAGCCTACTATAATGATACTGTTGTGGGAAGCTGGTGGTATGGTGCACAAGAAAGGGCGCGCACACAAGAACGATGAATGATACACATGTAAATCAAATGTTAACGTTATACTTCTTGATGAGAACATATATGGCTGTATGTCATCTCGTCTAGTCTACACTTGCTAACTTCGCTATCATTTCTTTCCAATAGAAGCGTTTGGCCAAGGCGGGGATACGATGGACTACACTCTCATGTACGCCAGAGCTCAGCGCAAGTTTTAAAGTGTGAACTATATGCTACTTTAGTGTACAGTGGTCGGTGTCATCCGTGCGCCTTGCCTTGCACGAGAAGGCGCCACTCCCATGCCAGCATCCTTGGATTTCCAATCAAAATGCAGTTCGATTTGATAGATTATCTTTATTTACTTACGTAAGGACAATCACACGTTAATATGATATCACTACTGTAATTTGCAGCCAAGGACCGTGGAAGTCTTCCAGTGGAGCACTGCCCTTGACCATAGGAGAGCTTTCTGTGCATTCAGGCTTCAGTAGTCCCCGCAAACCCAATGCAATCTATGACTAGGTAATTTATAGCCATACTATACGAGAAATGAGACAGAATCATCGTTAAGTAAGCCCCAGAGAAGATTTCGTGGAATCGCCACCAGAGAAGATTTCGTGGAATCGCCAATGTGGCGCAGGCAGCCTACTATAATGATACTGTTGTGGGAAGCTGGTCCTTACGTTTGGCCGATGGCATCTAAAGATTCTAAAACTGTGTCCGGATACTCGAAAACCCTTTATATCTCTGGATATAATTTTGGCATACAAATACCAAATCAAAATATGTCCACTATCTGGGTTTACGAAATTTCGTGTTTCGTATCTCCAATTGTATCCGGCACATTTATTTCGTAAAACATATATATTTCG